ATTTTTCAAGCTACGCAGCCAAAAAAAACGAATTTTACGAAAAGTAGAAGGTAAAACAGAGACGTATCTGTTTTACCTTCTACTTTTCGTAAAATTCGTTTTTTTTGGCTGCGTGGCTTCAAAAATTCTTTCAAATCGACCGTTCGTAGTATATAGCATAAGTATGTACTTTACTTACAGAAGAGGACTTTTCATTCTACACAGCCAAAAAAAAGTATAGTGTATTTGAAAAAAATAGGTAAAACAGACCACTTTAGGATCCCCTTAAAACGAAAGAGAATTGATACATTTTGTACGATCGAATTGGACGTGAAATAGTAACGGTCGGATTCGTACGTTACTCGAAGCCATTGCTACTTCACTCGGGCAGCGATTGCGCCGTACAAACGGTGGTAGGGTCGTCGGGATGCGTGCGGGGAGACTCGGCAGGCATCAGCTATAAAAAGACGCAGGTGAGGGGCGAGGCTAGTTGGCTTCGATCCGTCGAGCGACGCGTATGGTTTGTGGAGTCAGTTTTGCTATCAGTTCGCTCTACGCTCGTACGCAGTGATCGTGTCAGTTCTTGACACTCGGCACATAGTCATCCGCTCGAAGGATGCGGCTGGCTAGTGAGACGAACTCGTGATACACAATAGTTCGTCGGACAAACGTGTGTGACAACGGCGCGTGATTTGAGATCGGGAAACAAACGGAACGAAGCTTGACACTGTTGAATTTGACGAAGAGACGACGAGATTCCTGTGCATCCTTCGGTCGTGCGTTTACGCCACTGTGTTTCGACAAGAGCTCCTGACGATCGATAAACACAACGCGCGCGCGTGTGTGCATGTGTGAGTGTGTGTGCGTGCGCGTGTCCGTCGTCGACAATCACGCAGCGTGTTTGGCGTCGAGGAAGGCGTCGAGAGAGAAAAAGAGCGCCCGGATTGATCGACTCGGCCGTCCGTAAGAGGTTGGTCGACCGCCGCCGCTAGTCATGAAGGCGATGGTTGTGAGTCCCGTGGGTGGCCGAGTGCCGTCCAATCATCGCGGTGTCCTGCACAACGGTCTGGGGATCGGCGGCACCAGGCGCGACCTCGAGGCCGAGGAGGTGGCCGCCTACCTGACGAAGCTGCGCTCCCTCGTGCCGGACATGCCGCGCAAACGGAAGCTGTCGAAGCTCGAGGTGATCCAGAGGGTGATCGAGTACATCTGCGACCTGCAGACCGCGCTGGAAGAGACGAACGCCGTGCACCAGGACGCGAAGACGACGACGACGCAGTCGAGACAACCTCTGCAGTCTCTGCTGAACACCGCCGCGACAACGACCACCTCAACAGTCGCGACGACGACGACGACGACGATGTCGCCCGCGGCGACGGTCGCCGAGCGGTGACCTGCCGGTCGGATCCACTAAGGTACAGGTCGCATCGGAGTCATCCTCGTGGACTAACGACAGATCGTCCTGCTCATCTCGGAAGAGCGCTCCTCGGACGCCTCGTCACGTGCAACCCGGCCGCCGATTCAACCCTCCCCCCCTTCCCCGACTTGAGCGGCGAGAGATGTTAAATCGTCCCGGAAGAAGAGACACGATGAACCATCCGAGGACGCACCTGCACAACCTGAAGAGAGACCGCGGCGATGACGAAGCGGGACACGGATAGAAAGAACGAGCCCGGTTTTCAAGCTCTTCTCCTTGCCCCTCCGCGAAGGGAAATTGTAAATACTCTTGTATATAAATTCTCATCGCATTCCTCACAAGATCTCTTTTTCATTTTACATTAAATCATAAGCAAACTGGCCGTCATCCCCCCCCCCCCTTCTTACTTTTTTCCTTCGAGAACTTGACGATTCCGATTCTTTTAACCGAGCGCGTGATGTCTCAACCGACCATATCACACTTATTTTCAGTTTTGCAATTAATGGAAGGCGATGCGCAATTTATGACTAGCGTCCATTCAGCAGCGAGACACTTCGAGCGCGGTGATCGTTTATGATTGAACTCACGTTGAAACCAGAAGCGGTAATCCGTTCCCCGCTGATTTCCATCGCGAAATGCGATATCACCCGGAGATTCCGAGCTCTCTTCAAAACATTTGTTACATTAGCGCCCCGCCCAAACTGGTCGCCGCCGATCGATCGCCTTTTCTTGCACGTCCTCTCTTGGGAAAAGCGTTTCGCCGTCGCGCGCTCGTCGAACTTGCGTTCTCGAGCGATTTGTAGATAGCGAGAAATTTCTTTCGTGGAACCGAAATGGATGTAACGGTCTTGCGAGTTCAGGCTTCGACGCTCCGAGACACGCAAGAGTGACATTCGCGTTTTTAATGCGTGACAATCGGCTCGCTACGGTTTGCACAAGCGTGCGAGAACTGAATTCGCCGGAGATTACAGCTGTTTAGCCCTCGGCTCTCATGTAAGACTTCACGTTCCACCGTATTGCTGGTATTTCTTTCTTTTTGATTATTATATAATTATTATATCGTTGTTATAGCTCCTTATATTATAATTTAGTGAAAAGATAATTCGCCCTCCTCAACTCGCGTAAATATTGTATATTTGTGAAGACTGAAAGGCTGTAAGTAAATCATTTGCGTGGGCGTACTGCACTCGCACACATGAAATAAATGCAAACTGTGTCTAAGAATTATTTTCGTGTATCTATTTTTTTTTGTGCAAACCGGGTGAACAAAATACATCTCCCATGGCATATCCTATTATTCACGTATGCATGTAAGCAGGAAATTCGATTTATATTTTTCGCGACGAATGGCGAAAAATGATGACCGTTCTCAATATTTACAAAACAAGGTATTTTTCAACAATATCTAATATTTTGCTAATAATTCTGATCATAATCAATCTGTAAACAAAGATGCTTGTTATATAAAAAAAAAATAAAATGTGTTTCACAATTTAAATTCAATAAATTTACGTGATCAGATTCTTCATAATCGGTAAATATCGAATGCCGTTACGATTTGTTGTTCCCTACAAACTAAAATCGGAATATTTTCATTTCCACAAGCGGGACTGAAGTAAATATCAGGTAAGAGCTCTGGCAGCCGTGCTTCCTGTACCGTCCGGGGCCATAAATCCGCGAGGATTCACGGTATCGGGAGCGGAAGGAGGGCGGCGGAGGGGTTTGAGGGGGATTAAATAGGCGCACGTGCGTGCAACAATCTACGCACACGTGCGAGGAGGGGCCCGACGGTTTCGTTCGCCGTCGCCATCGGTCTCGTCGGAAGGCGAAGGATGTGTGTGCGAACTGTGCAAGGGCGGCGTGTCGTTCCGGTGGGGTGTAGGAGTTCGCAAAGTCCGTATTGATCGTCTTCTGGCGCGGGTCACGTGCGCGTTCCTGGGAACGCTCGATCCGGACTATACCCACGGGAACTGACTCCAACCCCGTGTCCTTTGACATTCTCTCTTTCTCTCCTCCTTTCTCCCCCACCCTTTGCTCGCCCGTCTCCACTTTACGTTCCCCCTATTCGAGCGAGATAGAGAGTGAATGAAGGGATGCATTTATTACCTCTTTGAGCAATCCTCTAAAAGCATTCACTAATAACATCAAGGTACATTAATCCTTTTGTACGGGAAATTGCTGTTTTATTGTTAATATTATTATATCTTGGATGCAATATGCTTCGTGTTGCTTTTTTTAGTTTGAAAAACAAAGTGTGAAATATTCTGTTTAGAAGAGATAAAAGTTTTGTTTTATTAGATTAGAAGTATTTTATGAAAAGCGAGAAGATAGATTATTTTTGATTCTGTCTTTATGAAAGAAGAATTACGATTAATCAGATTGCTGTGAATCGATCATCGCTTTTTTCAAAGTTTATTCCTATGCCAATAAAATGTAACAAAGTTGATAAAACCAAGCGATCGCGATTGAAGACTCTTGTGGTTACATTTATTTCATCGCCTGAAAAATATTAAAGTAAGATTTAATTTCACAGATTTCACTTACCAGAAACCGCAGATTAGCGCTTATCTCCAGACACGAATACGTGGTTCCACGTTCAAATTTCCTGTGATAAATAGGCATGCCGTATATTTTAACAAGAAATACCCAACACCTTCTTCGATTTCCAATGTTCGTAATTGACAGTGATGTAACATAGGGCGAAAATTTTCCGTTCAACACAAGGATGAAGGACTACTCGGTGTCGAATAACAATTGGCGATGTCGAACACCGATAATAAAGGCTGACTCACTACCAGGATCATTCCGTCCTTGTTTCGGCACGTGCGGCCATCAGACGTGAGGGATTACGTCCCTACGACGGTCGGCATGAGAAATATAGCGATATCTTGTGTGAAGAGTCCATTCTCCGGTTTTATTCTTTCCAGCCATTTAACACAAAGCAAATATTTACGGCAAATCTTAGTTAAGCCTATATTTATATAAAAAAAAAATGTTTCATATCAATTCTTCTGATAACCGCACTCTCAGCGCGATTCTGAAACTTAATCAACCTTGAGCAAAATTAATACTTGTCGATAGCTAACTGTACAGAAAATACAGGAAGATATTATCGATATAAAAAATTAATCACTATGATTACTTCAGAAAGAAATTCTAACTTAAAAGTTAGAATTTCTTGATTTACGATGACAAAGGAGAGACGATCTGTGTTTAAAATAATTATGGCACGTCCCTGATGGAAATATTTTGCTGAAAGTACTATGAAATCAATGAAAAGTAACATGAAAGTTTTTGAAAACCCTAATGGAAATATTTTGCTGAAAGTACTATGAAATCAATGAAAAGTAAAATAAAAGTTTTCGAAAAATTACTGAATATATTTCAAAATAAATCATAATTTTCTGTATGAAAATTTAATGTAATACTATAAAATATAAGGAAAGTTAAAATATACTGCTGAAAAGTAATGAGTTTTGAAATAATTATCATTATGAAATTTACTGAATTAAACTGAAAACTGTTACTTTTTAATGAAAAATTGCTGAAATATTTATAAAATTAATTAATAGAGTCAATTGAGAGAAATTTTCAAATATATTTCAGCAAAATTTCGTTAAATTTTCAGAAAAATATTTCCATCAGGGGTAAACTGAATTTAAAATTAATATTTCAAATAAACGTTGTCGATTTATGCCATTTGTACTATCATTGCATTATTACAAATATTTTATATGATGTTGTCAAAATTGAATCTGGATGTGCAGAAATATTCATTTTTAACAGAATAATGCAAGTACAAAAAGTAAAAAAAGTTTAAAGAATATTTCAAACAATTCAGGATATCTTTGCAACATTTCTGAACTCCATCATCTTTTAGGCATATTTGTTTTAAAAATTTCAGAAATCTGCCAGGCATCTTTGGAAAATCTCAAAATTTAAGATTCTATTTGGATTTCGAGAGTTGTATAAGAATTCTCACCATAATTTCTTTTTCATTATCGGTGGTATTTCGTAAATCAATTAGTCACCATCAACTTGCGAGCCCTTAATTATATATTTCAAGATACAATTGTTCCTTAAATTAGATTACCATTCCATTAAAACAGTGTAAGTCGCACTAGTTAGATAAAAATGCACATTTACCGTGTTAAATTATCTATCGGGTTTGAATTATGTTTGTTCTCACGATTACAAATAGAACTTTTATATAAAAAAAAAATAAAAGAAAAATTTGTAATTCATTCTGTGAATACTGTTGGTGTAATTCATCTAGCCGAGCACGCACATCCCAATATAGTTTTGACACTGTAGATTTGACATATGATATTCTGGATTTTAACTTTTTATATGATAATCCTTAAATAGATTATCATATGGAAATTTATAGGATAATCCTAATAATTGTTAAAAAATGATTGTTACAAATCATCCTTTCCTCAATGACAAACTAATCTACCAGTCGACAGCTAACATATAAAAACACTAAAAATGTCGCGTTATCTCAAAATGACTCGTCGGCGAGGTATAATAAATGTGTACAAAAACGGTATATATTCTTCCCATTCGTTCTCACTCAACGGAATTTTCAATCGATGTCATAAATTTGTTAAGCATTCGTAAATCTACGAATAGTGGCCTGTGTCGGGATTTTTTGCGCATAATCGTCTCTGTATCAGATTGACAGTCGCTTCACAGTATCAAGCAATATCGTAAGACGCTCGCGTTACACAATGCGATTCACACAAAAGTTTCGAATTGTAGCTGGCTTTCCAATTATTGGTAACAAGGAAAAGATAAGAACCGCGTCTACTAGACTTGATTGGTCAGATATTTTCTGATCGAGTCCTTGTCCCGGGCGAGCCAGGCGGCATTCAGTCTGATAGATTCGACGCATTGCTGCACCGTTCTCTCGGTACCCGGAGTCGGGTGACTCTTGAAGAAGCTCTCCACGTCTTTGGCTAATTCCTCAGTAACGAAGTTCTCCGTAGTAAACTTTACCAGGCGGGCCAGCAGGAAGCCGCCCTCGTAACGGTCTAGAAGAGTCTTCCACTTCTCCTTGAAGAAATTCCACGCCATGAGGCGTCCCTTGTACGTCAAACCGACGGACATGATGGCGAACACTGTATCCTGCGCGCGAACATCCTCGCTCATCGCGAAATCCAGGACCTCCCGCAGCAGAGTGCCGTCCTTGATCGCGCCGAGCGCCCGCAGGATGCGCTCCTTCTCCTCCTGAAGATCGGCCTCCTTGTAGAGCTTTATCATAGTCTTGTAAGTATCGGCGTCGCCCGCGGAGAGCACGGCCCGATAAACCGGGCTGCGCAGATCGGCGGCGAGCGTCGTTGTGCCGTTCACGTAAAGCTCGAACCTCCTCTTCGCTTCCTCGATCATGTCCTGATCGTTCAAGGCCGCCATACGAACCAATACGAGGGACCGGAGTAATGTGTTCAAGTGACTCTCCTTCGGCTTGGGATCCCAGCCTAGACTGTTGTTAATGTCGCGGAACAGATTACGTCCGAACGCTTTGAAGGTATCTTCGAACTCTAAGTGTGAAATGAGAACACCGATTTTGCTCAAGATATTTACTATGGTAGACCATACAGTGTAATTGTCCTCGAGTCGGAATGCCTGCATGAGATCGAGCACTTCCACCGTGGATGCATGCCCCGCCTGGACCATTGCGAAGAGGTCATCCAGCAGCCCTAATCTGTCCAAAGGAGGTAAAGTATGATCCTTAATCGCCGGGTATAGAAGCGACAAGGCAGGCTGACTGTAACGAGTTCGGTAGAAGCCGATTGTGCCAGGATTGATTTTCAACCATGTGCCCTCAGGAACGTCTTCGATCGCGAATTCTTTGGTTTTTGCGTCCAGTATGCCGTCGAATACCGTTTTGCTGGGGTCCTGCGACGAGCTCACGCTAATCGGTATGAGCCACGTGTTGTCCGTGTCGCTGTCCACCGATCCGTCGGCCAGGAATCTCTCCTGCGACAACGACAGGATCCTCTTGCTGCCCTCTTGACGATGCTCGACCTTGACAACGGGAAAACCTTGCCGCTTGGTCCACGACGACATCACTTTGCGAACAGCCTTATTACTGGCCTCCTCCAATGCGGCCCAGAGATCCTCGGTCTCCGCATTGGCGTAACTGTGTCGCTTGAGATACAGATTCATGCCCTTTCTGAAATCGTCGTCGCCTATGTACGCGTGCAGCATGCGAATCACCGACGCACCCTTGTGATACGATATATCGTCGAAGATCTCGTCGATCTCCGATGGATGACCAACCGGCACCTCGATCGGATGACTGTTCTTCAGAGCGTCCAGCTCCAACGCACGAATATGCGTGTCAGTCACAAATTGCGTCCAGATATCGTATTCCGGGAATAGATGCGCGACGCAGAGGAACTCCACGAACGACGCGTAGCCCTCGTTCAGCCACAGATGCGTCCACCAATCCATCGTTACGAGATTACCGAACCACTGATGCGCCAATTCGTGCGCTACTATCAGCGCGATCCACTGCTTGCGCACCGCCGATGTATTCTGCGGATCCACGAGTAGGCAGGTCTCGCGGTAGGTAACTAGACCCCAATTCTCCATGGCACCGGACGAGAAATCGGCGATCGCTATGAGATCGATTTTCGGTAAAGGATACGCGATGCCGAAGTAAGTTTTGTAGTAGGGCAACACCTTGGTGGCTACCTCCAGTGCGAACTGGCCTTGTTCCTTTTTCGATTTGGGCACGTAAACTCGAACTAGTACACCGTCACTCGACTTATCCTCTATGTAATCAAAATCGCCCACCACTACGGCCACTAAGTACGTCGACATAACAGGCGTTCTTTCAAAAGTCAATGTTTCATAATTGCTGTTCGGAACTTTGTGTCGCAATTTCACAGGCTGAAAATTAAAACAAAGACGATATATATTTTAATGCTTTAAAATCTAAAATGATACACTGATAGTAATTAAAAAAGCATTAAATAAAAACATTTCATATATATATACTTCAAATATAAATTAGAGTGAATCAAAGAAAGCGATAAAAAGAAAAGAAAGCAAATAATATTGCAGATATTGGACGTTGCTTACCATATTAGAAAGTGCTGTAAGACCAGTTGGTACTTTTAGAGCAAGGTCAAATGTGGCTTTAAGCGCTGGTTCATCCCAACATGGGAAGCAACGTCTAGCATCTGTCGGTTCAAACTGGGTAACTGCAGCATACTCAACAGTACCATCTTCTCTGAAATCATAAAATTTCTACATTGTATTGCGAGGATTCTCACCATATTTGATAATCCGACAAGGGACGCTTGAGATGGAAGCATAAGGTGTATATCAAAAGTTGCTTTGAGAGACGGCTCATCCCAGCATGGAAAAAATCTCCGTGCTGATGTGGGACACAAATAAGTTACAGCGCAGTTACCATCTTGCCTTTGAAAAAGTGAAATACATAGCTTAAACATGGTCTTGATTTATCCATCTGTTTTATAATTTTCAGGTGCTAAAATTAATGAACAATAACTTGAGATGCATTGTTGAAAAATTTCTTTTCCTAGTCAAATAGACGAAAATACGATAGTGTTGTAATTTTTCATATATGTAAAAAATATGTGAGCAATATTTTTTTCTTACCCAGTATATTTGCTCCGATAGAGGCCTTTCATTTTGTCATTGATCTCGCCCACGAAGACTATATTTAGATATCCACTTTTACCAGACGGCAGAGCCTCAGGAAACATCAATATGGCTGTCTCTTCTGATGCGGACAATTCAATTTTCTTGGCAGGAATATTATTGCCATCATTTCCATGAAAAGTTGCATCTTTTATATCAATTTCCAAAGAATTCAAAATAATGGTATCCGTTGAATTTTCCACCTGTATGTCAACAAAATAAACACTCGAGAAATCACGGTACATAATCATATTGTTCCAAGGATAAGTATGAGATACTGTTGTGAGTCTAACTCAAAACAAAACAAAAAAAAACAAAAAAAAAGTAGATAACATCAGCAAATACAGTAAGAAATGAAGCGTCACCTGTAATGCTCTTGAATTAATGCGCAAATTACCGAAGGATTTAAGCCGCAATTGCCGGCAATTATGAGATAAGGCGGGTGCGTATATTTACTAATTAAACTTAATGTGCTGCTCAAACAGTTTGTGAAGAACCGGGTATTTCTTGGTTATGTTCACTATATGGTTAGCAGTGCTTTGTTCTCCTTTTTTTTTTAATTTAATCAAAAATAAAGATACAAGTATGCGTAAACATTAACTCGCAAATGACAAACTTACGTTGAGATGTATCTTCACCTCGCCATCGAAAGTGAAAGTCTCGAGATTCGGCGATAACTTGATATCATAGTGATAGGGACGCACGTCCGGCGGCAGACGGCGAAACGGCTTTTTCTCGTCGCCCGACATCGCTCCGCTCGACTTGCTCGTGATTTCGCTCGTACTATAACGCGCAGCCTGTATTCTGCCGTTTCCGACGAAATTCGCTAATGACAACCGCTGCGGCGAATTACAACCAACTCCTTTCCCTTTTTGCTGACTCACAAAACGACAGTACACACTTACACGTGTAACAAAGCGCGAGAACATGGCCAAGAGCCTGCAGACGGGTTTCGATACCGCAAGTATCGATTCTTCGCTATAGAGATATCGATATTGAAAAATCGTCCCGCATCAAGTATCGATACTTAAAGGTAGTCGCGCAGATCTGAATAGCTCTGTGAATTCACCGAAACGCGAATATGCATAAAAAATTTTTTCCAATTCTAGAAAAATTAAAATTAACTTAAATTTAGCGTTGTAAGTATATATATATATATATATTCATAAAATTTGAAAGAAAAACTAAAAAGATTTTGACGTACGCGAAAGTTCTGTATGTGATGTATGAACTTTTCGCACAGTCGTCGTTCTCTATTCCGTATACGCCACGGCCGTTTCGACTAGGTTCACGACATTTATGTGCGGCGCGAGATAGTGGGCAGCATCCGCGACAAGTAGGGTAGGCCTCCGACGAGTAGCGTTTGACCGAACGCGGATGATTTGTTGGAGATAGTGGTGGTGTGCGCGGCACCCACCGTCATCAGGGTAGCGCAGCAGGTTGAAAAGAATAGACCGACTGTGGTGAATCCGCGGTGCGGTGAAAGAAAGGAAGAGAGTG